CAGCAGGAAAAACAGCAGGAAGAAGGTACACTGTCCATCCTGGAAATGCCTAGAGAGGACAATGTGTGTGGAGCATAGCAGAACTGTGTACTAGGAGCTTGGAACAGACAAGAATGCTTGACTGGGAGTGTTTTGTTACCCACAGGTTGTTATCCTGCTACCTCTTCACTTAAGTGGGAAAAATGTTCAGATGCAAACCCCTGCCAGCACAGTCTTTTCTTCTCACACCAAGACCAGAGGAATCATGCCAAGAGCTTGGCTATGTAAAGTAGCATGCTCCTGAAGTCAGAGAGAGGTCTAAGGAGCCCCTTCAGCTTCCTTATTCACCATTTTCTTCCTTATTTCTACTCTTCTTCTCCTAGGAGAATGTTTCCAGCCATGAGAGTGAAAATTACAGGCTTGGATCCCCACCAGCAGTATTATATTGCCATGGACATTGTGCCTGTGGATAACAAGAGATACAGGTAAGCTTTTTAAGGAACTTTGTGAGAACTTACTGTCAATGACAGCCTAGGAAAAAACACATGCCATTACACACCCCTGCAAAGGTGTGTTGGAGGAGACCATTTTGATTTACACCAACATAGTTGATTTAACCACAGTAATGAAACAAAAACCAGAGGTTTGATATACTCTCTTGCTCTTCTGGATTGAAATATTGTTCTTTTCAAATAGCAGTTTTTAATCAGGGGGATCTCTAGCATGAATTTCACAGTTGACATGATTAGCATTGGCTGTTGAAGGGAAAGGAGAACTGGAGTTATCAATGGGGAGTCTGGAGCCTCTAAAATTACTTCAGCAAGAAAGAAATAGGCAAGTAGCAGCTGAACCAAGATGAGCATCTAAGATCTGGCCTGAACTTAAATGAGTGTTTTTTTTAAAAAAAGCATTCACTGTCCAGCAGAGCAGGGAACGTGGGGATATGGGCCCTGACTTACAGTGTGGAGCCATTGACAAACCCTCTGGTGAATATTCACCAGAGATTTAAGCTGAGCTGAAAGACAGAAAGAAGAGTTTTCTCTGATACTACTGGGTTTTCTGATCTTAAAAAGTCCTCTGGAAAACTCGTGGTTCTCTGCATCCCAGAAAACTATCCAGACAGTGGTGATTTATCTTTACTCATTAAAAGACCTCTGAGAGCAAGTCTGTTCCCCAAATAGTCTTGACTGCACCACATTTCAAGGATTCAAGAACTGATTCTCCGCTTCAGATGCTAAATGTTATATTTTTGGTCTCAGATAGTGCAGAGTGTTTTTCAGAAAAATGCGTTTCCTGGGAAGCATCAAGGTAGTGTCTGATACTCAGCTGGCAGGTTTTCCCCTTTCTTTGAGTGTGGTTCTGATAGCATTACCATTGGAAAGAAGTAGATTTTCATATAGTTTGTTTCTTGCTCTGCTAGAGCAAACTAGCAATGGAAAGAACAGATTCCAGATTTTTTTTTTTTTTTTTCATTTCTTGTGAAAAGTCAGGAAGTGAGTCACTGTTTGTAGGTGAGGACTGAAATAGCTTACCAGAGCTGAGTAGAGACCCAGTGAGGGGCAGCACAGGGCAAAACTCAGAGGTGTTAGCAGAACTGTTTGTGAAATTCTTTAGGCTTTAGGAGGCACAGGACAGAAAGAAAAAAAGGTATCTAGGCAAAGCTGGGGTAGAGAAATTTATGGCATAAATAGGATGGGTAGATCTGGAACACATTAGATCATAAATGACCAGGAATATAAAAATTATTTTTCCCTCTAATGCCAACATTTGTAATACTATATGGAATTTCCTATTTTGCAACATTTTCAACCAGAAATTCTGTTTTATCTGTTGTTCTAGTGGTATCCATTGGATTTTGCCCTTTCTGGCTGAAGATGTGTTTTGCACAGTCTGGCATGGCAGCCAGGGCAGATTTCTGGAACTTACAGGGCATTTTTAAATATTTTCAGAGAGGGCTTTGTTTACCCATATTTTTCTGCCTCTTCCTCTGGCTCAGAGAGGGTTAAGGAGCTGAGAAGGCACATGTGGCAGCGTTTTACATGGAAAATAACTGCAAAGGTGGTTTTAATAAGGAATCAAGTCTGAACAAGTGGCTCAGGGGTAATCTGGCTTTCATTTAGAAGGTAGGAGGTTGCAATAAAGCACATTCTCCCCTGACCACAAATGAGAGCTTGGGGTGTGTGTGGCAGGGTGGCAGGGGAGGGGAGCCCTGGAAATGTTCTTCCAGTGAGTGACAACTTCCCTTAGCCATCTCCCTTTCCTCTTTCAGGTATGTGTATCACAGTTCCAAGTGGATGGTGGCTGGTAATGCTGACTCCCCAGTGCCCCCAAGGGTTTACATCCATCCTGACTCGCTGGCTTCTGGAGACACCTGGATGAGGCAGGTGGTCAGTTTTGACAAGCTCAAGCTGACCAACAACGAGCTTGATGATCAAGGCCACGTAAGTAAAATGCTAATCCTAGTGCCTGCTTCCCCAGCCTCACTCCTCTCAGACTACAAAGGGTGCAGCTGATGCTTTGATGCTTCTGTGTCCTGCTGAGCACAACCTATAGCCACTCTCCAGGGTTATGGAGGATTTTTCCTTACTTCAATGCTTTTCTTCAAAACATTGCTTTATCCTATAAATTGATGAAGCACCTTCCTCTCTGGTCCTGACACAAACTTGGTCTCATATATGCTTGTAAGAGAAGGGTGGTTTTCTTCATATTAGCACTTACTCCATCCCTGCTTCCTTATACATCTGGATGTAGAGTAGAATATAAAAAAAAATAAAATTAAAATATTTTTCCTTCTTTTGTTTTCTCTTCAGATTATTTTACATTCAATGCACAAGTACCAGCCCCGTGTTCATGTCATCCGCAAGGATTTTAGCAGTGATCTTTCTCCTACAAAGCCAGTTCCTTCAGGAGATGGGGTGAAAACCTTCAACTTCCCTGAGACTGTCTTCACCACAGTGACAGCCTACCAAAACCAACAGGTAAAGATCCTTCAGAATCCTTTTTTTAGGGTGTTGATAAAAATATTAATGTGCTTTCATGCTTCAGACATAAGAAATGGAGCTCAAGAATGGTGTAAACTTCTCAGAATCACTGGTTGTTGTTTTTTTTTTCTGCACAAAATGTTTGCAATGGGGTACTATGTAAATATGAGGTGTCTAGCCAGAAAACCACCTGGCAGAAAAGGTGCCTGCAGGTTTTACTGTAAAGTAGATGAGATCAACCATAAAAAAATGCATTGTGTTCATGTTTCCTTGCTGCCTCATGGTACAAACTACAGTGTCCTGTCCCCACTGCAATTTTAAGGCAGTACAACTAGTCCATCTCTGTTGTCTCACAAAGAAAACACATAGCTGGTCTTTTTGTTAGCTGGGAAGAAAAAACTTGTAGAGAGGAACAATCTTACCAGTTTGTTGACAAAAGAAGCCTTTGAACATAAGCAGCAGTAGTCCGTGTATTAATTCACGTTAATATAGTTCACATCTTTAGGGTCCCTTCCAACCCTAGACAGTCCATGATTCTATGACTTGATTCAGTTTTTGCACAGTTCCCAGTGGAGAGTGTTACTATTGACTTCAGATATCCTGAAGAAAAGATGTTGCCGTGGTGGGATCATATCTGTAGAGACCTTGACTACTGTCCTTTGATCTGCCCTTTTTCTTAAACTAGTCATCACAGAATCATTAAGGTTGGAAGGAACCTTAAAGATCATCAAGTTCCAACCCTCTGCCACGAGCAGGGAACTCTACCACTGGATCAGGTTGCACAAAACCTCATCCAACCTGGCCTTAAAAACCTCCAGGGATGGGGCATCAGCAATTCCTCACCACCCTTATACTGAAGAATTTCTTCCTAATATCTAACCTAAATCTCTCCTGTCTCAGTTTAAAACCATTACCACTTGTCCTATCACTATCTTCGCTGATGAAAAGCACCTCCCCAGCTTTCCTGTAGCCCCTTTCAAGTACTGAAAGGCCACTATAAGGTCTCCTTGGAGCTTTCTCTTCTCCAGGCTGAACAGCCCCAACTCTCCCAGCATCTTCATGGCAAAGGTGCTCCAGCCCTCTGATCATCTTGGTGGCCTTTCTCTGGACCCTCTCCAACACGCTCCTGTCTTTCTTGTGCTGAGGGCACCAGAGATGTACACAGTGTTCCAGGTGGGGTCTGACCAGAGCAGAGCAGAGGGGCAGAATCACCTCCCTGGCTCTGCTGGCCACACTGCTTTTGATGCAGCCCAGGATGCAGTTGCTCTCTGGGCTCCAGCACACACTGGTGGCTCATGTCGAGCTTCTCATCAACTACCACCCCCAAGTCCTTCTCCTCAGGACTGCTCTCCAGCCATTCTTCCCCCAGCCTCTATTTGTGCCTGGGGTTGTGCCAACCCAGGTGCAGGACCTTGCACTTGGCCTTGTTGAACTTCATGAGGCTGGCACTGACCCACCTCTCCAGCCTGTCCTGGTGGGTAGCACTAAGAAATGTAATCTCAGTGCACACTGGCATTTGATTACAGAATTCCCTATCTATCCCTATTTTCTCCAAAGCTATGATATTTTTAAGAGGATATTAATTGCTGGAAAAGCATGAGCATTTGAGAATGTATGAATTCAAGTATGCAAGCATTTGAGCCACAGCAAAAACATGGAAAGGCCTTGCTGTGGATTTCACGTTTTCTTCACATTCTCCTTTAGTGGCCAGTGAAAGGCTATGCTCTAGTCTTGGAGAAGGTGGCCTGATTCATGGCTTCTGCAGGCAAGTTCATTGCACACACTGAGTGCTCCTTATATCCACCCATTCCTTTTGCAATCTCCTTATGTATTGCTCACCTGCCAGTTACCTCTGCCTCAAGGATTCCCCTCAACCTTCACACCACCTCTGTCATGCTTTGGGCTCAGTGTGCTCCTTTTCTCTTATTCATGTACGTGTACTCCCTATTTTATTCTCAGGTGAGTGGTGCTGTGCACATCCCATTCCACTTTCCTGCCATTTTCCTTCTAGGGGCAGGGGTTGTGATGACATTATAAGGGTTGTGTAAAATAATTTTTTCCCAGCCATGGCAATTTTTTCCCAGCCACGCTGGTGGAGCTTTTTGCCATGTCAATAGTGTGTCCACTTAGAAAGAAAAGGTACTGTTGTAAGCTAGGATGAGGGTATGAACCGGCTTGGAAGAAAAATAATCTGTTACCAAGTCTGTTAGGGAAATAGGTTATACAAGTTTCTGCCATAAATTGCAGAAAAGTCTTGAGTCAGAAATGGTGAAGTAAATATTTTTTCCATGACAACATCTGTGCTTCTGAAGAATGACTTAATGAACTCAGTCAGTGTAATTATATTTATTATTCTTGAACCGAGAGACAGACCCATGTCGAGTCAGCTCAGGGCAGATTGTAGTATTTAGCCAATTTATAACAGTTGTGAATTGCAACAATTTGGTGAACTGTTACATTTTTATTTGGTAAAATTTAAGAGAGCACATGTGCTCACTGTAGTGCTCCCATGACTGCTTCTGGATGTGCATTTCTTACTTTTTCTCTGCCTGGTCCTCTTGAATTGACTTAAACTGGGATTCAAAATGAATCAAGTATTCCAGCAGATAAAAAATACTGCCAAGCAATGGTAGGTTTGCTGTCATTGCAGCATTTGAAATTTCCTGCCCCCCTCGCCCAAACACCACAAACTTGTAACTGTTGACCAGACATGGAAAGAGGATAGAGAAAGGAGAAGGAATGACAGGAAAGAAACTTGTTGTTCTTCCCTAATTACCAGACCTATAAGACATAATTATGCAGGTAAGGGAGGTGCTGGGGGAGGGATCTCTGTCAGACACTGTCTCTGTAAGCCACCTACCTCACTGTGAAGAAAAACTGAAATTTCTTCCTGTCTTTCTGAATTCCAAACATTTGGGCATTTTAGCCCTACTAAATTGCTGGGTGGATGATAAAAATGTAAGTGAAGGAGATTCTGATGGACTTGAGAAACCTTTTCATTAAAAATCAAATGTAAATCCCCTGAATTTGCCTGCATGCCCTTCAGTGGCTGTAAAGCTTTGTCTTACTGGGAGAAGCATCTCTGGAAACAATTGTAAAATGTTAGCAAATCCACCGCAGGGATTCCCTCTGCTGTAATTCCATCCTCTGCAGAACATATCTGTCTCCATACACACAAGTCCCTGGACAGCTGCAAAGTCAGGCTAGCAGAAATTAAGTTCACAAATTAAGCTTCGGCAAAAATAGGAGCTGCATTCCAGATCTGAGGTTAATATCCAGAGTTAAGGGCTTGGTTCTGATGGAAACAAGCCACCTGCAAATCCCCTTCAGGTCAGTCTGTATTACACTATTCCCTTTTAAGCAGTTTCAGCAAAAACACCTCAAATATGATGGGATCTGGAGATCTCACTCTCTTTTCACTCCAGAGACAAAGTCTCTGGGCCAAGGTAAGACTGGTAGAGGAAAGCTCTTGTGACACATGGGGCTGGGGAGTAGCCAACAGGCAGTATGATGCCATGGGCTGTAAGGTCAAAATCCCAATATTATTTTCCGTTATTACCAACACGAGATTCATGTCTAAAAATAAAGCAGGAAGGAAGATTCCCCAAAATCACTCAGTCCAGCTTTTGTCTTCTTTTAGAAGGGGGAAAAAAAGAAAAAAAAAAGGAAAAAAAAAAAGGTTCCCAAACCAGAAAACCCTTGAAGGGCAGCCCAGATGCTGAGCAGAACAGCAGCACCTTCTGTACGTGACTGGGTGGCCAGCTGCCCTCTTTGGACAGGCTGTGCTGGTCTGGCCTTTTTCTCCTTAATATTGTTTGAAGGTCCACGAGTGCACCCAGCTACCTGGGTATCTAGAGTGTTGAGGATGGAATAACCCAGATACCAGCCAAACCTGAGCAGTATGCCTGCTTCTTCCCAAGGCTGTTGTTGAATTGTAACTCCTGGGCTTTCACGACTGGGCTGGAGGTGTGTTTCTCCTTTAGGAGCAGCTTCTCAGCCCCAACACCGTGCCAGGTTTCCTGATGCTGCCAGATTTCTGCTTTTGGCACCATTCATTTGCTAAGCAGAGAATCTTAGCAACTTTAGTATAAGGACAGGAAGGGCAACTTTAATATAATTTTGGGGAAACATGTGTGAAAGACTATCTTACAGGTGGTTTGGACAGGAGTGGTAGACATCACTAATTTTCACTTTTTGAAAGAAAGAAAAAACCGGGGAGATCAACTGATTCTCTTTTTCTTCCTTTGTAGATCACCAGATTAAAAATTGACAGAAACCCCTTTGCTAAAGGTTTCAGAGATTCTGGGAGAAACAGGTAAGAGGAGTTTTTTTTGTGTTTCCTCACTGATCTGCTCTCTCCTTCCCCTGATGAGTGTACAGGGCTTGTGTCTAAGGCCAAGGAAAGCTTTCTGTGATCCTAATTAATTTTTACAGGAGAAGTTTGCTGTAGGCTATTTCTTGAGGAATCAGAAGGACTGTTTTACTTTGACTAAACAAATCCAGTGTAGAATGATGGTTTCCTTAGAAAATACTTTCCAAGGGAGCCAGCAGGACTGAACCCATTTCTTCTTAGAAGTCTCCTCCTGTGCTGCTACTACCTCTGGCTGGTTCTTGCAGTCCCAAACCTTGACAGAGGGTTTTAGATGTTCTTAGACAACATATCTGTAAAGACAGATTACTGCTTTCCTTCTTCACAACATTTTTTCTGTGGCTCTATGTTTTTTGCTGTCATTTTCTGTTCACTGCTACCTCAATACCTCTTATGCTACTGCTATCTTCAAGGCTGTTTTTATTTGTATGTGAATGTTGCTGCTCTTCTGTTTGGTTTTGTGGTGGTGGTGTTTTTTGTTTGTTTGTTTTCTGTTGAACAATTAATTTGTTTATGTTTGTTTCTGTTATTTTCATGTTCCTCTGAGCTTTTCCATTTGTCATTGAGAAACAGATTAAAAATGTTAGTTAGGGTCTCTAGTCAGTTATTAGTAATGGATCTTTAAGATGCCTTCCAATCTGAACCAACATATGATAAACTGCTCAGGTGTTACTGATATTGGTGCCATGATATCCAAAAAATTAGGTAAAATAAATTAAGTTATTAAAGATATTGTAGAGTTTCTTAAAAAAAAATATTTTTTTTGTTACTAAAATGAAGAACATAGAAAAATGGAGGATTAATGAATAGGTCACAGGCTAACACTGCAAAATAGTGAAAATTGTAGGAAAGGAGACCTAGACGCTTTTGTTTGTTCATTATTTTATGTAGAGCTGGCTGAAGGGCATTTTAAAATTTTAATTTTCACACGGAATTCACAAACTTGGAACACAAATACTTGTTTTTTATTAGAAGAAAAATAAAGTTTCTGATAGCTTTGCAGGATAGAGGTGCAAAAACCTACAAGTTTCAAACGATTTCAGTTTTTCTCCAGTGATGTCAGTTTTTTTCATTTTGACTTGCTTAATTTTGTCAGGATTTTTATGAAAAGATTAAGTAGAAAACCTTAAACGTTATTTAGAATACGTTATGTTTTAACAACACAATAGTAAAACCAGAAGTTTACAAAAAAACAACCATCCACCAAAGCTATTGTGTTAGTAAAAGACATTACAAAGTTATCAAAAAATAAGAAGAAAGTTCAAACAAAGTTTCAACTTTTTCTGCCATTCATGAATGGAGCAGCGTGCGCAGCAGATCTTAGTCTTTCAGATCTAAATGATGTGGGTATCCTCTAAATCAGTGTGGCAAAGGCTTTAATCATTACATCAATTACAGAATTAGACATGTATGACTACAAGAACCCTAGGGTTGGAAGGCAAGGCTCTGAGTGTGCATAGCAGAGTGAAAGTTGTGTGCGTAGCCCTCCTTTCCTGTCCCCATGGGCACTGTAATTCAGTGTTCACTTGCATGCTTCTCTTGTGCATGTTCACCAGGACCTCTGCCTCCCTCATGGTTTGTGTAGGAAGTGTTCAGTGACTGGGCAAGTGGCCCCTGTTCCCACCACCCCTTTCAGCACTACACTTTCTGTGGTCAGAAAGGTGACATCTTACTGACCCAGCCACATCCTACACAGCTCCTCTGGTCTCATCTTACTTCAGCTCTGCAAAAGGATGTTACTGCCCTTATTTAATTTCTACCATAAGCACTAGTTTTGATAATTAAGGCATATGTGATTTTTACTCTGCTTTTCTCTTCTGGGTGGGGAAGTAGTGTAGACCCTGGGTAAAAGTGTTCCCTGCGTGCAGAGATACAGCTGCACTGGAGGCTGGGCTTAGGAGAGGGATTGATGCAGTTCCAGGTATGTGGTGGGCTAGATGAACATGGAAGGCATTAATAAGGTCCTAGCTCAGTGAATTTCGACAGTTTCATGAAAAGGTTGGGAATTACTGATCTTTGTGGCTCATTGATTTAAGAAAGGGCAGGAAATTGCTACATGGCTGCAGCTGTGGGGAGGGCTCAGTAGGGCTCTCTGCTGATGTAAAGAGGAATTAAAATCTTTAAGGTATTACACATCAAAGAGAGCAGCCTGAGGCTTTAGGAAGAAAAAACAGGCAAAGCTATTTGCAAGCATATCTAGCAGTCAGGCGCCTGCCCCACAAGCAGGACTCTGACTAAGGCTGCATCACTGTTGGCAACTAGCAGAGGACACTCCAAGGCTCAGCTGCTCCCTTTCAAGAGGACACATGCATGGATGTACACATGGAATGGGGAAAAGCCTTAAGGTCCAAGCTGTGAGAGGAAAGACCTCTGCAAATGGGACTTTTTAAAACCATGCTGGCTGACTCCTCTTCCCCTTGTAACTTTTTAATCTCATCAGGATTGGTGGTCAACCTGTGTGATCATCCTGATGTTCCCACATCATCACAACTTTGGTCAGCTACAGTCCATCAAGCTGGAGCTGGAGATCATCCCACTGAAAATGCAGGCCTCCTTTGAAAAAGAAATAGGGTAACTTGAAAAAGGCCCATTTGTGAAGCAGTCAAGTGTATGTCCAAGGGATTTTCTCTTTAAGGTCTTAAAGAAAAAAAAGTGTGGCAGCAGCAGGGGCCACAGAATGTCTGCGGCTGCTCTGGGGCATCGTATCCCAGAGACACTGGGATACTGAATCAGAGTCATGCCTAGAGTTTATTTCCCATCAAATGATGAAAAAAAACCCAACACACCAACAACAGAAAAAGTAACAGAGCACACTGGGAGAACTGGGCCACTTCTTCCCTAGAACATTTCCCTTCTGCTCTGTTTGGAGGGTTTTGTATGAAATGGAGAGGGATGTTTTTCCTTCATTTATTTCTTATTTTGATATTGTTTTACTGTTACTTCTGTTATTAACTGTTGCAGAAATGATGGGATTGACTGTTGTTTTTAAAACTATTTTCCCTTTTAAATATTTTACTTCTGTCAGGTCACAGCCTTCCCCTTTGGTTGCCTATGACTGTGGTCTCACTTCATTAGTACAAGAGACTGCTAAAACTATGCTGTTCTGGGACACCCCATCATTATGTCAGTGCCTGTATCCATCTGGGGGAGTGATCTTTTCACGGATCCCTTCCTGGATCTCCTTTAGTTGTTTGCATGGTTTTCTCCTTTCACAGCTGACTGCCTTGGGCATTGCACTGGGAGAAGTAGTGAGGTATTTCAGTGGGAAGGATGGAAACAGCTCAGCAGCTGGATGTTGTTCCACAGTCTTTGAGCACTCAAACCATGTTAACTAATGGTGTTTAGCAATGGAGCCAACAGCCTTGATGGATTAGGGGGTCAGCCTGTATTAGAAGGCTGAACCTCAGTTTCCGCTTATTAGAGATTCCCTTTACATAATCTTTGCTTTATCTGCAAAAGCATGTGGTGCATCTGTAGAAGTGAAATGAGTCCTGGTGGTGAAAGGGATACCTGCATCATGTACACACAAGGCAGGTATTCCTTGGTTCCTTTCCTGAGCTTCAAGAGACTGAGAACCAGATTTTTTGACATATGGAGCTCAGCTCGCCAAATGTTTGGATGGTGAAGGTGCAGGTTTAATGCCACAGAGCCTATTTTTGGAGATGAAGTAAAGTTCATTTGACAGTGGGATGCTTGTGGGACCTCCTTATCCAGTAGGAAGTCAGAAAGGACAACCATCAGGAAACCCAGCAGGGTGAGGGAATTAAAAAAAACAACAAGATGAAGGCAAGCAACAACACTTTCCTTTCAGATGTGGGCAGCTGAGGTGGATAAAAGTTGTTTGTGTTGGAAATGCTCTTTGAGCTTTTGTCTAAGGTAAAAGAGCCAGGAGGGTGCTTGGAGCCAGTAGTTTGGCTTCCCCAGTGAACAATGAAGCGATGACCTGAATCCTGCATGCAGTGGGAATGGCAAGGTCAGCCATATGGGATGGATTATGGAGGTGCACAGATAGCTCGTACATCTTTTTTCATTTTTCAGAGAATGGAACTGTTTCATTTATTGCCTATTATTAAAACTTTATAGCACCAGAAAAAAAATAAAAATGAGTGAAATAGAGAGAATTTTGGATACCTTCTAAAGGACTGACCTTATTAAAATAAAGCTGGCAGTCAGTTCTCTTCTCATACTTTTTTTTTACTTCCTTCATAAAGATGGTGTGAGAGGGGAGGGTTTATGGCCTGATAGACAATTTGAAGTCAATTTTTCAGTGCAGCTCTTTGGAAGAGAAAGTGGATGCCACATGGATAATGTTCAGCATGCTTGGTACCAGCAGCCCTCACCAAAGCCCAAAATAAGTTGCTGAGGTTTCAGAAAAGCTGAAAACAATTATTTTTTTTGTCAGCATTTATTTCTGTCTCAAAATGTCTCTTCATAGGCCAGGTGGGCTTTGTTTTCCCTGTTAGGGGATGGAACACACACAGAATAGCACTCAGTATTTCTGCTGACTAGGAGAGCATTACCTTTCAGTCCTGTGGTGGAGGTCTGTGATGTGGCTCTGGATATCTTGGTAGCACACTAATATCATATACTGCTCTGGGAGAGCATTCTCTAGGAGAATGCTGTGGGAGATGCTATCAAAGGCTTTACTAAAGTCCAGGTAGACAATGTCTACAGCCTTTTCCTCATCCACTCAGTGAGGAACCTGGTCATGGAAGGAGATCAAGTTGGTCAGGCAGGACCTGCCCTTCCTGAAGCTATGCTGGCTGGGCATGAGCCTCTGGTTGTCCTGCAGTTACCACATGAGTGCACTCAAGATGAGCATCTCCATGATTTTCCCTGGTAAGGCTGATGGGCCTGTAGTTCTCTGGATCCTTCTTCTGGCATTCTTGTAGATGGGTGACATTGGCAAAACGGGGTGGTATGTGCCTAGCACATTAGCATGGGAGGCTGCTGTGTCATGGATCTTGTCTGATGCATGGAAAAATATGAAAGTTCTGCTTAGACACTATTTCAGAAACACCAAAAAGAGATTTAAGAAAATACTCAGCACCACAAATGAGGGAAAGAAGGTTGATATGGTATACAAGGACCCAAATTTGTATATAAGAGAAGTGGACATATCTTTGAGCTCCGTCACACATATACTTAGGAAGAGTGTTTTATAATGCATGTTCAACTTGTGCACACCTCTGGGACAGTAAAGGACCCTAATTTGGGGCAGGAAGAGGAAAGAGGTGGAAGAGGTCACTTACAGCCAGCTGTGGAGTTTGGCATCTATTCTTTAGGTAGCTGTGGCTGCAGTGCTGCCTGGAGCATTACATGGCAAACTGTGAATCTGGTGAAGCCATAAGGATGCTGCCAGCAGTTGCAATGTGGAAAGTGGAAGGTGTCAGGAGCAGTGCCCACAGCAAAGGAGCTGCTCTAGACCTGCTCGCCTGGAGCAGGAGGAAGAAGGTCCCTGGTGGCATCCTTCCTTCTGTGGGCATGCAGGACAGGAATAGAGCAGCTTTCCAAGCTGCTCCAGTACCCTCAGTGCTGCCATTTACCCTCTGTGGGCTCAGAGGCACAGGGGAGTCCAGCCACTGAACGCAGTATATGGCTCCTGATTTTCTCTTTCGTTTTGTTATCTCCTGACTATTCTCTTTTTGCATTTTCTTTTACAAGTACTTGCAAGAACTGTATTGCTGCAGGGGAAAGTGGTAGACAGAAAGCTAGAAACTGAGTCAAGCTGAGCTGAGAATGATGCAGGCTCCAGGCAGAGGCAGGGGTAATAACTTTAGCCCCCCTTCACTGTTTCCCTGAGCCACCTCCTGTTAAGGGTTGGATTTTACTGGAAGGGAGTCACGAAAGCAGAACTAGAAGTCAGAAGCTGGTGCAGAGGGAGGTTATGTGTGAGGGTACCTAATGACTGAACTAGACTGGGAGAACACAGGTTTTAGTGAGCTGGCCTCCCTCCTTCCTTGTGTAATCCTGGTGGTAGACACAGAGCAACTGGATCAGCACAGCTGGAACTTTCAATCTGCGTGTCTGGAAGTATTAGTTGGTTTTAATCATCAAGACAAGTCCTTTCAACAGTAGTCCTTGTTGCCCTGTGACTTGCTCAGGTCATTCTGTGCCCCCTGGATATGTGGCAGTAGAAGGTCCTCCCTCAGTTTTTGGGCTGAGGTTCATTTATAAGGCTGCAAAAATGTACCATTCTCTGCCCGACTGCGTGTGCTGAAGAGCAGATGGAGTCTGACCATGTGTAGCTTTCTCACAGAGGTGAGAGGAGGAAATCCTGGGAGTGGAACCAGTAGTGGAAGAGTTGGTTTTGTACACAGAGCCCAGCTCAGCAGATGGGTTCACATTCTGCTCTGCCTTGTTGTCTTTGAGCTCCATGAGCTGGCAGAGGCCAGTGTATTAACCAAATAGTTTTGTTGTAATGTGCTCAGCACTAGTGTGAGACTGCTATGCAGAGATGTCTTCTGTTTCTACTTCTAACAGCTTAGCAGCTAATAAACACCATGCAACAACCTCTCTTCTAAACCTCCTCTTAAAATACAGAGTTTGGTTTGCCAACTCCAATGTATTTAAAGCATCCGAGCTTCCGGGGAGACTTTGGAAAGTTAACTGAGTGAGTGGAGGCACGTGCAGAAAGACATTTTCAGAAGCAAAAGGCAGCTCCAGTATCAGCTCAACATCTGATGAGAGGCTCTGGGGATGTTAGAGCCTTTTGCATTGAAAGGGGATATGTTCTCACATCAGACGAAGAATCTGGAGTCGTGTTTGGTCAGTGCGAGGGCTATAACCTGCTGCTGGAAAAGAGGCAGGGGAAGGCAAGGAATGGGGAACATAGCAATATGCAGGTTCCACAGAGGAGAGCCCTTCCTGGGAAGAAACTCCAGGGGATTGTGTCATAAAGAGCATGGGGGTCTTTTCATGACAGTGCACTGTCTCCTCACTGAGAGACTTTCATCAGGGCTAGCAGTCTGTGGTGAAAATAAGAACAAATCTGAGACCCTGGCCTTTCCAGAGGAAAAGTTCTCACTTGGTTTCCAGCTTTTTCTCTTTGGTACTGTCTTTGTGGTGAGTTAGGAGCCCAAAGCAGAGATGTGACTTATCTTTTGTAAAAAAACATCTTAGGCATTTCTAGTTGAAGTCCAAACCCAAGGAGATTCCCTTTTGGATGGCTTCCCGTAGCACTTCAAAGCAGTGTCCAGAATTAGGAGGGGGAGAAAGGCAATTCACAAAATCTCTCTGATTCTGAAGGCTGAATCCCAGACCCCCCTTGTTTGCATCACAGTGAATCCACAAAGTGTGGAAGCCTGCTCTTCTGCAAAGCAGGCGTGGAGGAGCTGATGGTCATGTGTGCCCTGCAAAACAGACAGAAAGTTTTGGATCCTTGTTAAGGAACAAAACCAAACCAAACCAAAAAAAAAAAAAAAAAAAGAAGAAAAAAAAAGAGAGAGAGAGAAAGGTTCTGGAAGATTGTTAATAGCTTCTGAACTCCTGGGCTGGTCCCTTTACTCCAGTGGCTAGTACCTGTGCAGGAAGGCTTGCTTGAGGAATTCACAGATGCCAAGGTGACCTTTAGGTGGCTGCTGGCAGCCTGTCAAGCGAGGTCAGAGCCCTCTTCCCCCAGTGCTAATACCCTTGCCAGCTGACTGACATTCCTCTCTCCTTGTTTTATTTTCCTTGCACAGGACAGGGCTGGAGGCCATCATGGAGACCTATGCCTTCTGGAGGCCCCCCGTGCGCACCCTCACCTTTGAAGACTTCACTACCATGCAGAAGCAGCAAGGTGAGTGTACAACGGCCGCGCAAAGAGCTGCAGAAAGAGCAATAGCAGAGGGTGTAAGAGCAGCCATGCACCCTGCTCTGCTGTGGTTCACGTAGCTTGTTGAGCTCTTCACTGCTGTGGAAGGACACCCAGCAGAGGTGCAGTGCAACCAGTCCATCTTTCTGGGGTTCCCAGTGCACCTAAGAGCTAGAAGGAGGACCAGAAAGGAGTGCAGGGTTGGGAGAACCAGCCCAAGTACACAGCATGGTTTAAGTGTGCAGAGAGCACAGAGAGACAGAGGAAAGACTCTAGCATGTCAGACACGTTGTTCCCTGTTTCCACTTAGTGTCTGCCATTTGTGTGGCAATAGAAGGGGGAGGGGTGTGCGTCCTCTGGAAGCTTTAGGAGACCAGAAATGTGCCTCTCTCCAGGATCATGCTGTGTCTCTTTCAAAACCTGGTGGCCTTGCCGGAGAGATTTTCTGTTAGTAGGAGGCTGGGAAGAATTATTGGGTAGGCCAAGTGTTTTCCGCGTGTTCATGCTGTGTCTTTTCATAGCTTCTGCCCTTTACATCTCTCATTTGTTAAGTAGGGCTTTCATCTCCAGTTTCAGGCTGTGTTACTATTTTTTTTTGCACCAATAGGACTTCCCTATTTACTTCATTGCAGCTATTTCTAGTTAAAAACACAGTGATCACTGGGAAGAGAGCTACCAGGGCAACCTGATATCTTTTATTTTTGTTTGTTTGGCTTTTTTGTTTATTTGTTTGGTTTTGTTTTTTTGTTTGGTTGGTTTTTTTCCCCCAATATAAACGCAAGAAAAGAAACAACTCAAAGTTGTGTGCAAATGTGACATCTGTGAGGTTAAACAACCAAAACCAAACTCAGGCCCTGTGTTGCAGATTCTCCAGCCTCTCACCTTTGAGCTTGACATCACCCCAAGACTTCCCTGTAGACCTCAAATCGATCTGGGGATGGTGTGGTCTCCTCCAGAGGGAGAGCAGCAGCTGGGGCTGCCCATCACAGGGCAGGAGGAGCTCTGCACATGCTCAGGGGCATGTGTGGAGGAGCACTCGCAGTGAGGTGTGCAGTCAGAGATGGGTTAAAACAGGGATTCAGAAACATTTTCATCACTCACCTAAATAGAAACTTAACAGCCTCTTCTCCTGGTCATGGCTGCTGCTGCAGCCTCCCTCCTCTGCCTCAGACCCTCTTCGGGCTTGCACACCTCCCCTCCCACTGGTTATCAGATAACATCCTGGTGGCAACTCCAGCTACTGCTTACGTGGTAAAGTAATATTAGGAAAGGAAAATATTTCATGTATTTTTAGCTTGTTTTAATATAGTTTGGCAGCTGAAAAACCAGGAAGCAAGCCAGTACCCTGTGACCAGCCTGCTCAGTGCAGACCACCACCACTGCACCACAGACCTCTAGGTTTAGGACAGCCCTTAACTAACGTTTTATCTGCAGGTTGGTCTCAAAACTTAAAACTCACTACAAAGCAGTGCTCTTGAGCTCTGCATTTAGCCACGCAAACGACTTCAAGGTAATAAACTAGAAATATTTCCTCCATCATACTGCTCACCTCTCCAGTGGTTGCTGTGAGAAGCTGACCCTGGACTCACTGATACATGCAAAACCAAGGGGCAAACACAGTTTATTCTAATTTCTGGCATCTGAGAAAGCCCCCAAGGGCAAGCACAAATATTCTGGTCTAAAGACCATGGAATTGTTGGCAGAAAACACAACAAATGCTGAGGTGGCTTCAAGCCACGTGTGATTCCTCCCTCCAAACCCAAGATAACCAGGATGTACAGTGCCCATACCTCTTCCTGTACTTGCTTTCAAGCACATGAACTGTGTGACAAGTGAATAAATCACTGCTGTTTAACAGCTGACTTCAGTGTAAGCTGTTGCATCTCGGCTCCTCTGAGCCTTAGCCAGTCTTTTTGTGTAAGAGACTTCCCTGGAACTTGACTCCTCTCTCCCACCTGAAGCTTCAGCTTCATGCTGTTTTCTCATACCCTGCATATTTAAGAATTAGAAGTTTCCAGAGTAGTATTTTAATTAACAGACAGTTTAATTCTAGATCATGCTATTGTCTCCAAAGCTGGGTGGATATATGGCATTTTGTCAAGGTTTGACTCCAGATTGGCAACTGAACCAGTGACAATAAACACTTGAGGATTTGCAAGCCTCCATTTTGTCCTTTGAATTGTTGGGAAAATGCACTGTGGCTGCAGGAGACTTTTGGGACTAGAAGTGTACTCTGCAGCCTGAGAGGACTTCATACTTCCTGCAGAGAGACAAGATGAAAGCAGCAAAACCAGACACATGCTGAGGAAAAAACTTCATCAATGAGGAGCAAGTTATGGTCGTTCAGCCTAGTAATGAGGGAGACAGTACATAATAGCACTGAAATAAGATGCTGCCTGTGGTGGGTAGGAAAAAAACCATAGGCTCCAGTTATATGAAATCTATAAAAGTGCTAGAACAGATCACCTGAAGGAACTGTGAAATTCAGCTTTGAATGAGATGAGAGATGAGTCCCCATTACTGTGGTGGAAAAAATGATGCTTTGTTGTGCAGAAATTTGAGACTTCAGCAGCATCAATATGATGCCTTTGCTGCTTTCCAGCTGGATTTTTGTGTGCTATGGATTGCTATGGATTCTTAGCTCTTCTTTTGTCACTTGATAATTTTCTCATGAAATAAAGGTGTTACCTGCCTTTTCCAAAGCAGATTTGTCAAACAAACAAACAAAAAAAAGTCAAACTGAATTATTTGTTTAAGTTAGAGATTTTACTGATAGAAGTAACTGAATAGGTGAGAGAGATTTTTGGAGAGTGTGTAACTCATTGTCATGTATGCCAGCTTGGAAAAGTTGGCATTAGCATATATTAAAAAATAAATAGACTGATCTCAAAGCTGACATGATAAATATGAAAACACCATCCATTAAGCACAGTCACAGTGTTGCTGTGCAGGCTCCAGTACTCATTTATCCAGAACTAAAAGAAACAGTGGTGTTGCTAAAAGGTACAAATCTCATAAAGACTGCAGAGTGGACAGTAATAATGGGGCAAAGATGTGAAGAGCAATAGAGATTGCTTGGTAATCTGTGTGCATTCAGACAAAGCATGGCTTTTAGTTCAGGCAGATGCAATATCATGTGTCTAGTAACAAAACATAGGACATACAGAGCCACCAAGTGTGGTAGAAAGTATTGGCACTGATAAGAGCTTGGAGGTCTCAGTGGATAAGCCACTGCACATGCAAGGGACAGTGTAAGTTTTACTGTGATAGGAAAGGACATGAAATTTCTGGTGTAGGAAAAAAAAGAGTGGTAAGCAGTGGGGAGACAATTTCCTAGCTGAAAACTGACCTTACAATATACTGTTCCTCTTTATGTATTTTTAAGGGACAGAGATTGAAGAGGATTCAGGAAATAAAAGGTAGAATGATTTGTTGGAGAAGATGCCTAAGAATGAAAGCTCAGTTTGCATAGTTAATAAAAAAGAGGATTAAATACAGAATCTTTACAGCCTATGATATCTTGCGAAGACAAGAAAATGGGGTGTCTTTGTGTTACCCATCCTTGATAGACTCTTGTGTCTGTGATTTCCATGTTTTTATGACAACTGCGTGGAACACACTTCATTATGGTGGCTCTGATTTTTCTAATCTAATTGAATATTCATCCCTTTTTGTGGGATGTTCTCAGATAAGGAGAACAGAAATTCCCCCTCATCCACCTTCTTCATACAGTTAATGGTTTTTTACAGGTTTTTATGTCTCTCTCCTGTGCTTCTCCCAGTGAACAGTGCCAGTCATTTATTTTGTCTTCAAGTGGGAAGTTTTCCAGGTCCTTAATCATTGCTTTAAAAGCAACTCTGCACAGAGTATTCCAGATGCTCCCACATGATACAATTATCTAGAGGTATTATAATTTTTTCCACATTATCCTTTCTCCCATTCAACATGTATCCTGGTGCTTTGCTCACTTGTTTGGCCCAAGATGTATGATGAGCAAGGGCCACAGTGACATACTGAACTGATACTCAGTACACTGGATGCAGCTGTTTCATACAGGGATTAAATAACTTTCTAATCTACATAATGATAGGTTTCAGCTGCCACACAAACTGGAGAGCCTGACAGCATGACCAGTCACACAGATGTCTGGTGTGGCTGATGCTAGCAGTCCATGAGCTTTAGTTGCACATGTTGCCATCGAAGGGACGTGCATCAGTAAGTCTCTGCAGGTCTGTGACTTGAGGGGTCACCATGTTGCCCTACCAAGGAGAAGAACATACCTTTTCTGTCAGTGAAACCCTCTGACCTGAATGCAAAACCTGTTTTTTAGAGAACACAATCCAAAAGTCATCTCAGCTTCACAAGGGCAAGCACTGTGTTTGACACAATCACAGCAGATCTACAGCCAGTTTGAAAAAGAAAGTCCCCTTGAGCAAAAGCTTCCTCAAGTATGTTCAGAAAACGACAGTCCAGGAGAGGCTGACCTTCTGGAGAATGACGTCACTGGCTTTGCAATCTCCTTATTATAGGGAAAAGGGGGTTTGGGATTATTGGATGCACGTGGCACTGAGATGTGGGGAAAGCCAAGAATCTATTAAAATCTTTAATTGGGATAGATTTTCAAAATTCAGATTGAACCTCTTCCAGATTCTCATTATTAAAAGTGTGTGGCTCAGTTTCTTGATTTTAACAGGGAACATTAAAAAAAAAGAAAAAAAAGAAAGAAGGGGGGTGAGGGGAAGAGAGAATGAGTTCCAGTAACTCTGGATTGTGTCACTTTCCAAGAGTAAAAAGAGCCATTAGTGGCTCCTGGGTGAGATACAGTTTCCCACAAATTATTGAGATGAGCAGATTGCTATCAGTGACTGTAAGTTTTACCAGAACATAAAGGCTAGAAAGGCACTGTGACAATGCCAGAATAGTGATCAGTATCTGATCCTTTCTATAAAAGCTGATGACTTAGGCAAGAAATAGAAGTGAAGGTA